ACCTGTGCCTCCATGTCGTCATACGCAGGGGAAACGGGGGTCTGGTGGCGTCCGGAGAAGCGCCTCGCCCGCTTGCGGAGGTGGGAGAAGAAGCTTTCCTTGTGGGCGCTAGGGGGAGACGCGAGGCCAGACTGGCCATTCAGCGCACGCTCGGCCTGGGCGCGGTGCATCTCGGTGTAGTTGTTGTTGCTGGAGTTGACGGAGAGCTGTCGGCCGAGCTTCTTGCTCTTGTCTTGGCTGTCGGCGTTGCTGTTGGCACGCGCCGTCACGGCGTCGGAAAGGGGCGAAATGGGCTTGATGGAGGGCAGAATCGGCATCGGCGCCACTCCCGACAAGCCACTCGCCCACGTGCTCCGCTTGGCTTTGGCGGCTTGCTTGGCGGACGAGACATCGAGAGTGCTGGAGGTCTGGACGGGAGACTGCTGAGAGGGGGCCACGGCGACGGTTTCGGGAATGTCGCTGCGGCCGATAAGGGACTTGCGGAACCAAGACGGCTTGGAGACGGAGTTGGACGGGGCCAGGCCCTCCTTGGAGGTGCGGCTGAGGTCGGACTGCTTGCGCCCCAGGATCTTGGAGGCCGACGACTTGGGCCGTGACGGGTCCGTGGCGTCGGCAAAATACTCGTGGTTCAGGGACTGCGTCGACGTCGGACGGTTCTTGGGATCCCACATGAGGCACCAGGTGACAAAGTGGCTCAGGGCAGGCGGCCACTGGGGCGTCTGCAGGATGGTGTCCATGGCGTGGGGGGCCATCTTGGGAAAGGAGAAGCCCAGCTTCGAGGCCAGCCGGGTGCCGTCGCGCCACTCGCCGCCTCCGACGCGGGCGCCGGCCTTGTTGTACCAGTTTCCGGGGCTGCCCATGATCTCGCAGACCCTCCAGACCTGATCAACCTCGTTTCCGCCGGGGAAGAGGGGCTTGAGGGTGGCGATCTCGACGGCCATGGCGCCGACGGCCCAGATGTCGACGGGGGCCGAGTACTCGCCGGCGCGCAGCAGGACCTCGGGGGCGCGGTACCATCTTGTGGAGACGTAGGTGGTGTAGGGCAGCTTGGAGTGCGTCTCGCGGGCGAGGCCAAAGTCGGCCAGCTTGACGGTGTATGTGGGAGGAGTCGAGGGCGGCGTGACGAGGGCTGAGTATCGGCGGAAGGAGTTGGAGGTGTCCTGGTGGGCGGACGTGGACACGAGGATGTTCTCGGGCTTGATGTCGCGGTGGAAGAAGTTGTGGGAGTGGATGTGCTCGAGGCCCTGCATGATCTGGAA